GGACTTTTACCCCTGCTGCTCTTAATCAGACACCAGCTGTGTGCTGGAGCACAGCAGTATTTTGGTTTTCTTCTTTTCAAACCTCAGACCCGCACACGCACGCACACACACACACACACACACACGTATGTACAGAGTTGTATTTCCTGCAGCAGGAAAAAAAAAAAATACCAAACTGGTTTTTGTCCAGCAATAGTAACTGAAAGAGCCACATGCTCAGCATCCGCTGAGTGGCTGCTTGTGCCATTTCGGTGCTCTTCATTTGTAAAACCAACACATGACTCCTCTGTCTTCCTTAGACGTGCGGTGATATTGCTTGTGACTTATGTTGTCATGCAGTTGCCCCTTATGCTACTGCACTTACCATGCTTTCCTTTTGGCTTTGAGTTGTTTAGTCCATTTAAGTGCACATCAAGTACAAAAGCTGACTGGGCAGTTCAAGACAAGAAGTCATCAGTGCTTTACTTCAACCAAGACTGCATGGGGGTAGCAAGCACATATCTGCTTGTTAATTCAAAATACTGTATTGCAGTCTTGGTCTTGATTCCTTGATAGCAGGCTATTAAACTGCAAATTCTGAAATGTGGTTTCGTGAAACTTGCCAGTGCAAGTAGACTAAGCCACAGTCATTCCGTCTGGGCTGATTTCAGCCCTACGGAGAATGTTAAACCTGCTTCGTTAACTTAATTGTGGTGGGGGGGAGTATTTGTTGAAAGAAACATGCACCAGGTGTTACAGCTTCCTCTGTGGTGAGCAGATTTCTCTCCAGATCTCAATAACTGACATGGCCAGTCCAGGATGTTCTGCTTTAATAAGTGTCTCCTCTCCTTTGTAGCTAAACCTGTAGGTTTCACTCCAGAAAATTTCCAGCTCTACTTAGCAACATATCACCCAAAAAATAAGGCTGTGCGAGGAGGAAGGAATAAACACAGTCTGCAGGCGAGTATTGTAGGTGCAGTACGATTTGCAGTGAATCACCCAGAAGGTCTGATGACTGAGTTGTGGGGAATGCAGTGTTCCGGGGATGGAACAACCTCTAGACTGCTAAGAAGGAAACTGCTGTCTTTGCCAAAGTAACGTATCAGACACTGTTCCCTCGCAGTGCATCTTGAAGCCTTTGTACTTTTGCTGTCATGAAAATTAAGCTCTCACTTCAGTGCAAGAAAGTCTATCACTTGGCTGAACTTGTTTTCTGCTTTCTTGATGTGTGATTCCAACGGTGTGCAGACAGTTAACGTTCCAGCAATATAGCGGCTCGTGTGATATCTGTGGTAACCCTTGCGCTGCAGAATTTCTCCACTAAGTCCCGGACCTCGGTGAAGTTTCCATATTTAAGCATATTTTGAGTCAAAGCATCCAAAACCTCAACAGGAATTTAAGATACTTTACGGTACAGTACCGCAGAATTTCCAAAAACAAGCTCAACCTTGGATCAAGTAAAGAGAAGTGTGCTTCCCCTTCTTGTGAAGGTCCAGTCCTGTTTGTGGTGCTCTGGATGTTTTCACCATGCTTTTAAAACCGTGTGTTTGCCATTGGTCTGCTTAAGGGGGGTTAGCTAGTTGGCCCGTCTGGGCTGTAGTGCAGCATGTTTCCGTCAGGGTGGTAATCAGAGGCGCACCACGCATTACTGTGGAGCGTGCATTTGAAGGTGGTCTAAGCCACACAGCAGGCAACTGAAGCTCATCTGTAAATATTTTGGAAATGAATGGTTGTGGTGCAGCCCTTGTGTTCTGGATGTTCTTGTCCGCTGTTATTGTGTAGGAAGGGGCTCTTTGGTCCCACACTCCCTTCAGAGTAATTTAAAACCACGCTCTTGAGTCTTTGAGTGTCAGTCTTGCCAGCAGTCATGGCTTTATCAGCGGTTATCTGCTGAGGGTTAAAGCCCAGAATTCAAAGGCCTTTAACCTCTAGCTGTGTCCAAACTGCTGCCTCACGGTGCATGGCCATGTATATGCTGCAAGCACTGGACTAGAACTTTCCGGGCGTGTGAAAGACTGCGCGCCTCTTGGGTAGAGAGCATGACACTGTTCTGCATGTGCACATACACGTCAGAGCATGCTCGAGTAAGTAGAGTGTTTCGTAAATGTGTGCATTTTTTTATTTTTTTTTGTTATTTTAACTCTTATGTGAGGCAGTTCCCTTGTTTATTTTGCTGGCGTTTCTGATAGGCAGGTGACGGCCCCGAGCTATGCAGGGCCGCGCTCATTCGTTGAGAAAGTCCCGGCACCCTTGACCTGCGACCTCGCTGTCATGTGCAGCACACTCCTCTGTTTAGTATCAGTGTGTCTGAAAACCGTGCAGAATGAACAGAGCAGCCCCCCTCACACACACACACACATACATACTCACTCTCTACCAGTAGCTATGTCTTGGACACACTCCCCCCCCCCCCCCCCCCCCCCACCCCCACCCCCCCCCCCCCCCCCCCCCCCCCTGTGTTTCCCTGCAGGACCTGTCAGCTTCAGTGTAACTGCATGCTGGAAGAATGAAAACAGCACAGTGCTTTGCACCAGCCCGAAAGACTCTCTGGGGGCTGCTCATGGCCCCGTAACTTATGCAGCTGTTTCAAACTTAACAAAATGTATAATTCTCCATAGTTATGCTAGGATGGCTACTTTACTCTGGAGTTGGACTGGCCGGCTGTTTAGAACAAATGCCATTTTTCAATCATATTGGGATAAACTGTTATATCAAGTGGTTGCCACCTCACACATGTACAAGTGCACACACACGGCACCAAGCAGGGCACTTAATTTTTATTTTTTTTTAATAAGCTGAAACAAACAGTGATTTATGGTGCTGAAAATAGTTGATTGGCAGACCATATGAGGAGTTAAAAAAAAATAATAGGAATGTTATTTTTTTTTTTAAAAACTCCATTGGAAACGTGGGCTAGACGGCTGAACTGAAAATCAGTTCATAAATCCCCATCTTACTTATTGCGTAGCTTAACCCTGCTTCCACGACAGGTGATAATCGCTGTTCAGTCACTGATGGACTCTGACAGCAGGTCACTTGTCTGATATTGTCGATTTACCGATAATTTTGTCATACAGCACTAGGCTGCTCTGGAATGTCCATGGCTGTAGCCCCCAAGGCCTCCATAAGCCTTTCACCCTGTCCTGATTGGCTTGGATCTTGTCATTGAGATGGACGCCCGTGATGCAGCCGGGTGTTCTGAGAGAAGAAGGACCCATTGAGAAGCCGATTGGCACCCGCTTGCTGGGAGTGGTCTGCCAAAGGGCCTTTTTGTTTACCCCACACCCCTTCCCCGGCTGACGGCCCCTCAGGCTCATTTCACTCCGCCGGGGAGTTGTGTGGGGGAAGGGGCTGCTTATTAAACTCGAATCTGCTCCTTAAACGTGGTGTTGAAATGGAAAGGGGGCTCGGAGGTTTCCTTGCGCTCCTGGGGCATGAGAAAGCGCAGTTGTGAGCAGTAATGAAGCTTTTTTTTTTTTTTTTTTTTTGTCTTGCAAGTCAGCTGTCTGCCACACATGGCTGCTTTCTTACCATCTTCAGTTTAGTTGCTGTCTATGGTCCCTTTAGGCCCCTGTTTCTAGATCAGGCCTCTGTCTTTTTGTTCAAGCTTGAATCAGGCATGACAGCCCCCACTTGCCCGTGCTGCTCACAGGGTGCAGACATTTGCCCATGAAAAATACAAATATAAAAATTACCTTAGAGCCAAACTCACAAGTCCCCAGGCTATGAGGTTTAACTGTAAAGCTGGAAAACGGGCGTTGTGCTCAGCACCTAGAAGTCCTACTGAATATAATGGTGGAAATACTTGTGTATTACAAGCAAAGCACATTATATGAGAGCAGCTGACCAAGATGCAGCCTGCTCCTTTAACTTGATGATTGGTGGCTTTCCTTTAGTTTGCCGCCGGTCTCCTTTTGTAACCATGTACTTTCTTGTACTCATTGTCTCTGGCTTCGGGAACCAGTTCCAGGTTTTCAGCCCCCTGTATTGGAATACGTCTCTCCGCTGGCTCCCTCTTCCGACGGCATGAATGTCAGGGCTGTTTGCCGAACAGGATTTATAGCCGTGCTGACCTGCCATCGCACATGTTTGTTACTCAAGCTGCGATAAGGAGTAGCTGCTTGTAATGTCATCTGCTGGGAGAGAGCGCCAAGGGCCTGGCTGATTGCTGTCGTCCTCTCGCCCATACGACCGCAGCGCAGCACCTTGGGCTCCACAGCCGCCGCCTGTGGCTGGGGTCGTGCCGTTGCCAGTCTTGTTGTTTTACGTCTCTTTAATTCTAGAGCAAAGCCTGCCCTCTCTGTGTTTTGGATGGCAGACTTCAGCCTCCAGTCCACAGGAAGTTTAAGATTAGGGTTCCAAAAAAAAAAAAAAAAAAAACACACTTCCATGGCTTTTGAGCTGTTCCCCATATAAACCTTCCCCTTGGCCCCCATTTTTTCTGTTCTTCTCCTCCTCTTTCCACTTGTGGGATTTTTTTAAAGGTTTGTATTACATGCTGAGGTTGTCCCTGCTTGCTGTGCTCACCCTCCCTCACTGGTTTTGGCACGGCGATGGTAGCAGGGGTCCTGGCGGATTGGGGGATTCATCGAGTTTGTCCCAAAACCACACGCCTTGGGTCGGCCCTGGTTTGGGTTCTGTACTCCGTAATGCGCTGACCGACCGCGGCTTCTCCAACAGCGCTGCAGGACACCGTAGGACCCAAACCCGGGTGGCGCCGTATGAGGTTCCGGAGGAGCCATCCAGGAGACCCCTTTTTGCCTTGGACCGCGGGGAATTGTGATTCTGGACCCCAGATATTTGGCTTTTTGAAAAATAGCTTTGAAAGGTTTTAACCACAATTTTGTGCTTTCGAACGAAAAAAAAAAATCTATGCCCAAGTTTGTGGAACATTCGGCACATTTCGAGATGTTTTCAACGCATGATCTCTTAAGGCCAGATCCGTCTGCATACATGGTACGTGAGGCTGTGAACAGAAACATGGTGACACTTGGTGTTGACACCTCCCCGCCCTCTTTCAGAAGATGCGCGAGCTGTGGACCGGGCAGTGCCACCACTGAGGCCCCAGGCAGCTGTACGGAGCGATCGGTCCTGACCCGGCTGTACACGAATGGCCCAGGGAAGCCAGCAGATTGACACCCAGGTTTTCCACGACCTGCGCCAGAAGTTTCCCGAAGTCCCAGAGGGGGTCGTGTCCCAGTGTGTGTTGCAGGTGAGCTGCTGTCTGGCCATCCGTGATGCTTTGTCGTCTGGCTATGTAAGGATGCATGAGCCCTAAGTCTTCTGTGCCAAACCCCACATGGCTACCATGAAATCCAGGGCCAGCACGCAATTTTTTTTTGATAATATAAAAAAAATAATAATAAAGACACTCACTCATCCTTCACACCTTTTACGATCATTCATGTACAAATAACTGCGCGTATGCAGTTAGCCCGCTGTGCAGTGACCCTTGGGGCTTTCATCTGTAGTTTCACTGGACATTCATGTTGCACTTAATGAATCTATGCTTCGATTTAATAGAAATTTGTTATATGGATGCCAGTTTTTGGAGTTTAAAAGCTTAAATGTCTCCATTGAAGAAAGGGACAACTCAACAGCCACAACATCTTTTGAAAGAGAGGAGATATTGTGGATAAACAAGGGAAAAATGTGTTGGTCTTGTGGTTGTACTTTTTGCAGTTTAGTTTTTGCAGTCCAACATGGTTTATACAGACTACTGAGTTTTGGGTTTCGCAACACACATCTCATTAATATTTTAGGCGCCCTACTAGTCTGCTTACCAAATTGCTGGCGTGAGTAAACGTCCGTATAGTACCGAAAAGCCAGCGTCCAGACAAATGTTTCACGCATCATCTAATGCAGGGGTGGGCAGCCTTATCCGCAAAGGGCCGGTGTGTTTGCAGGTTTTTGGTATAACCTTTAGGTCAGCAGTTCAAACCCAGGTATGAGGACTCTTCAGCCAATCAGTCCTCTAATTAATAATCTAAAAGGGAGCTGCAACGAAAACCCACATACACAGCGGCCCTTTCTGGATAATATTGCCCACCCCTGATCTAAAGCCCTGGAGATTATTGCCCTTGCACCCTTGCCATATACATTGCACGATTACATCTCAGCATGATCGCTACGGCCCTAATTGTCATAGGTGCTTTTCTGTTTGTGTGACTTTATTTCTGCTGTTAATTATAACGAGAGACTCTATAAAGATGCACAAATGTGACCATAATCACTAATTTGACTTTCAGAACAACAACAACTTGCATGCCTGTTGCGAGTACCTGTCCCAGGTAAGCACAGGATACCTGTACGGCGAAGGAAACCTCAGCTTCCCAGACGAGCCCGGCCTGTCCAGACTCCAGAATCACATGACCCAGTTGAACCTGGGCCTGCATTCTCAGAATGTGCATGTGTCCCCGGCTCGGGACAGCCAGAGGATGAACGGCAGCCGGACTCTCACACACAGCCTGAGCGACGGGCCCCTGCAGGGGTCACAGCCCAGTGGGCACTTCCTACCGCCCGAGCCGCAGTCCGCCCCGGCACAGGTGCCTCCCAGCTTCAACGCACTTGGCGTAATGGACCCTGTCCGGAAACCCCAGCCCCCACAGCACCTGGGCCTCTACCAGCTGGGTAACAAGGGACAGGCACCCCGCTTCAACCCCATAACCGTCACGCTGGCCCCCAACATCCAGACAGGCCGCAACACGCCCACCTCGTTGCACATCCACGGTGGGCCCCAGCCCAGTCTCAACAGCCCCCAGGGCAATTCCATCTACATCCGACCGTACGTCAGCCAGACTCCCACGCCCCGGCAACAGCTGCAGCAGCAGCAGCAACAGCCCCAGGCGGCCTGGTCCCCGTACAGCCCCACGACCCAGCAGCAGACCTACCAGATCTCCCACCCCTCCCCGCTGCCCGGTGGCCGGGCGCTGCCCTGCCAGCTAGGCTCCTCGCATACCTCAGGGCACACGGCGCAGGGCCACCAGACATCCCACGTCTACATGCCCATCAGCTCTCCCACGAACCCGCAGGCTCCCTCCATCCTGCAGGCGCCGGCAGCCTCCAGCGGTCAGTACAACATACAGGCCATCACAACAGGCCCCCGCAAGAACCAGATCGAGATCAAGCTGGAATCGCCCCAGCGCAGTAACTCCGCCGCCATCCTGCATCCCGTCGGCGGTGTCCGACCCTCCTCGTCCACTTCTGCCGCCTCCTCGTCCTCCTCCTGCCCCTCCTCGTCCCCCATGGGCACCAGCACCTGCTCCACTGCGCCCTTGTCCATCAGCGGGACAGCCCTGAACCGCAGCCAGCCCACCCTCTACATCTCCCCCAGCCCTCCATCCGCCGCAACCGCTGGTCCCGACGATGCCGCCGCAGCCCCCTCTGCCTCCCGCCCCCAGCCTAAGTTCTACATCTCCGCCAACGCGGCCGGCGACGATGCCGGTGGACGCAACCCTACCGTTTATATTTCTGCCAATTCTGCAGGGCTGCAGGGCCCTGCTGGGGGGCGCGGCGTAGCGGGACAGGTGAGCATGGGGCCCGCATACATCCACCACCACCCGCCCAAGTCCCGCTCCTCAATGGGGGCCAGTGGTGCAGTGACCTCCCCCCGCGTAGTGGTCACCCAGCCCAACACCAAGTACACTTTCAAAATCACCGTTTCCCCAAACAAGCCGCCGGCCGTGTCCCCCGGCGTGGTCTCCCCCACCTTCGAGGTCCCCAACATGCTCAGCCTTCCCTCGGAACACTTTGCCGAGCCGGACCCCCATCACCTGTCGGACCCGCTGTCGGCACACAGGGAGAGGCCCAGCACCCCGCGCCGGCTCAGTGTCAGCTCTGACGACGCCGCTTACACACAAGGTGGGGGCCGTTTACTGAGGCGGGGCCTGTTTGTGGCGGGGGGTGGGAGCCGTAAATGAGGCAGCAAGCAAAGCAGCAAACAAATCTTCACACGGTTTGCGTGTGTGCAGACATTTTCTAAATTAGTTTAAATTAAATCACCTGTATGTTATTGTGTTATGCATGGTAAGTTTTGGGTGCCGTGGATTCGTGCTCCTTTGCTCCTGTGCCATGATTTCTGCCTGATGTCTCTGACCAGCGATTCATGTTCCTTCAAGTCGGCAGTCATAAGCCAGATGCCGTTCTGTGGGAACGTGTGAGCACGTTGATCTTGTATGATCACGTGAGGGACATTGTGTATGTTTCTACTCGCGAGTAGTAAATGCTTTTTCCACTGCCTCTTGCCAAGACGGAAATCTAACCACAAGCTATTGTTTATGCCTGTTTTTAACGTAGCATCAACATTATGGGAATCTGAATGCATTTCAGGCAAACTGTATATGCTGCTGCTCTTGTATCCTTGGTTTACTCGGTAGACCTCTTTAAAGGTTTGGGAGCAGGGTGAGACTTTCACGGTTTAGCAGTAGGCTCTCATTGCCATTAAGTGGGCTGGCGTCCTCGTCACGCCTGCATGGATCACTTTGTTTCCTTTCTGGGAGTTCTCTTTGATGGGCCCACAGTGACTATGGGTCACATCCCCTTCCCCCATGGTTGCCGCTGTCTGGTCTTGCATTGGCCCTTGGGCCTTGAGTCCCAGACCTTTAGGAAAAAAGCAGTTTGGTATTTTTTCCTCTAGAAACTTCTCTGTTGTTGGGTATCGTAAAAGGCATGATTGTGTGAATTGGCTGGTATTCGATTTGTTATTTTGGGTATAGTTCAGTGGAATGCGGCATGCCTGAATGTCTCTTTGTGACACACACTATGGGGTCCAGTTGGCCGTACGGTCGCCGAGCCAGTCATCCAGCAGAACCCCTGTCGTGCCGCTGTGCCCACAGCTCTGTTGATACACCAGAAGGCTCGGATGGACAGGCTGTGCCACGAGCTGCAGCTGAAGAAGAAGAAGCTGGAGAAGTTGAAGGAGGAGGTCAACGAGATGGAGAATGACCTCACCCGCAGACGGCTCCAGAGGTCCAATTCCATCTCCCAGGCACCCTCCGTAAGTGAGGCATATGTCCATTACAGTGAAGCTCAGCTTCAGTATTTTTCTGTCACGGCCGGTAATGTGAGACACACATCCTGTAATAGTTTGAGGAGTGACCTCAAGGTGATGACCCCAAGGTCCCTTTGCAAATGAACACTCTATTGGGATGTTGTAATCCCAACTAGATGAGGATCTTCACACCACGTTGAGAAATAAACATTAAGCACGACTCCTGTTGGACGATGAGCAAGCATTAGATGTGCAGAGGTCACGCGGATCACTAACACACGGCTTGGAATGCTTTTCCGTGGAATTAACCTCCTGCATGGCTCTCTTGGAAGCATAACATTCATCTGGCGCTTTTCTTGCATTCATTAAACAAGTAAAAAATTAAAATAAAAGCTGCTCTCCCACGGTGGGTAGAAAGTGTAACCTTGTTTCATCTCTCCTTTATCAGATTGAGGAAATGCAGAACTTGCGTTGCAGAAACAGGATGCTGCAGATTGACATTGACTGCTTAACCAAAGAAATCGATCTCCTTCTGACAAAAGGTACTCGGGCCCCGTTGCGCTCACCGCCCGCTCCCGTTGCCGAGGCAGCAACGCGCAGTGTGACACGAGCGCATGCGTACCTGCCGAATCGGTGGTGCCCGCATGCCTACGTCACCAAGGACATTCTGACGAGGCACTTAACTGGCCTTCAAGTACCCGGCCGCAGAGCCTTTAAACCCTGCCGACTAACGCTAACATGCTAACACATCCGTGGAATACATCGGAGGAATGCGGAAGTATCGCTAGCAGCTTTATACGGTTGGGGCGCGGAGGCAAGCTCCCCTCACGGTTCCTCCTCCGGGCCGGAGAGCTGTCAGCTTGCGATAGTTTCCTGAATTGCATCCTGCCTCTAGAGGGCTAGTGGGGGTGTATGGTCCCTGTGATGGCAGCCCCCACCCCCCCCCCAGGCCTGGTTTAGTGGCCCGAGCGTGAGCATTTTCGCCTGCCTTAGCAGGAACCCCAGACTCGAGTAGCTTTTGTGGAAATATGGGGAAAAATGTATGGTGGGAGGGCTGGAGAGATGGGGGAAATGTGCAGTTTGGTTATTTTGTTGGGTGTATCGATAGGGGAAGCTCCCTTTTCTCTGAGGATGTTTGTCTGATGCAGGATATTGTCTCTTTAGTCCAACTGAGTTTTGTTTGTTTTTGTGTCGTGTAGAAAATGTCACATAATCACTCGTCTCGATCTGTTACAGGACCACACTTTAATCCCAGTGCAATTCATAACTTTTATGACAACATTGGATTCCTAGGTCCTGTTCCACCCAAACCCAAAGGTACTTTATCTGTGGGTAAGTCTTACAAACCGGTTCCCACTCATTTCTTCCCTGCTTGTCCTGTCTTATGTGTGGCCTCTGATGCTCCCTGACACCCAGATCCCATATATCTAAATCTTGATCATATGAAAAGGCAGGTATTAGATTTTTATTTTATGATCGTCGTTTCTGGAAACGCTAACTAAACAGACTCGGCAGTGGTCTGTTAGCTTGGTCTGTCGTTCATTTTACCAACTCACTGCTGCAGACTCCCTGCTCCTCTTTGCTTCTCTTTCTTTTTCTCTCTCTCTCTCTCTCTCTCTATCTCTCTCTCTCTCTCCAAATTAAAGAAGGAGCCCTGTGGCCTCCCTCCTGC